GCCAATTTTCTGGGCGGCTTGGCGCGATGCGACGCGATACGCCGCGATGCTGCGCGATTATCATAACAACCGACGATATTATTCCGTCGCCGGATTTGCCGTTCGAAGGGGTGGCCCGCCGCGCCGCGCGGAGGGGGGCTGCGCGGAATAGAGGGACGACCGGCGGAGGACTCGTCGCAGCCAGCAGTCGAAACGGATTCCGCCGATCGGGCTCTGATGCACTTTTAATGGGGACGCCGGCGAGGGGGGCGGCTCCCGTGGAAGATGGATGGCAGTGGAATCGTGTAATCCCGATTTCATCGCGGCGCGCGCTCGATCGATCGATCCCTCGACCGCTGTCTACCGTCTTCCCCCGTCGCGTGCCCCGCCGGAAGAACTGTTGTCCCGGCGACCGCGGGATCCGTCCCCGAGATACGGGGAATTCGGATCGGCTCTTCTTCTTCGTTTTTCTCCCGGCCACCCCCGCGAGGACGACAGTCGGTTGATTCCGCCGGGCGCTGCCAGTGTCCCGTACCGGGATAAAGGGACGACAATGATGGGGTTCAAGGACTGGTTAACGCAGATTAGCGGAGCAATTTGTCACGCTCCGACAAGCCACCCTCACGACCGCCTCCGCCCACCGGCGGCCCGGCAGCCCCCTCTACCGGGCCGACAGTGGCTCCTTCTGTTTCTACGTCGTTTCACCCCCTTCGTTTCCCGATGCCTCGTTCCCGTGCGCTCATCCTTCCCGAGGACCTCTTATCGACGACCGGGGGATACTTCCTCCGCTCTTATCTGTCCGCCAGACTCCATTAAATTCGAAAGTCAACTGTGAAATTGGGATCCCGGGGACCGGGGCCGGGATTCGATCATCGCGCGGAGATAAGCTTTCCGCGGCAGATGGCTCCGGACCGCGGCCGGGAATTTAATAAACGGGATTCTTCCCGGGTTTCCGTTCTTTCTCGCGTGATCCACCTTGGGTTTTGGAGAACTGCCGGTGGAATGTTGGGATTGTTGGACTACGATCGAGTTAGGCTTTCGTTAGGCGATTGTGGAGTGATCGCGGTGAGGTTTGGAGAACGCGAGCTAATGTTACGATGTTTTAATGGATACTGATAACTGGTCCAAATTAGGTCTATATTAAATTTTGAGTATGTAGCGAGCTGAAGACATATAATCTGTGATAGTTCTAGATCAAGTTATAAGCATGAAACGAAGAAGATAACCTCGACTCTCTTGCGAAACAACTTGAAACTTTAGACATCTATCAAATGCTACCTTCAAATCGTTCCAAAAAAGAGGACCGATCCGTCAACCGAGCAACAGAGCGAAGTCAACAGAAAGCCTGTAGATTTCTCGACTACCGAAGAAAAACCAAGGCAGCAGATTCCCGGCGACGTCGTTACGGAAACTAGCAACCGGTCCGCTAATTAAACCGTTCTTACGCGGGCACCGTGAGCGTTTAAGCAGATCAGAGGCCGGCCGAGTGGCCCTCGAGCGCGCAAAAGCGGGGCCCTCCCGTTCCCGGTAACGCCGTCTACATCATCGCTTTTGTAGGAATCCCCTAACAAACGCAAATAACTCCGAAATCGCGCGGAGCTCGTGGAACAAGCCATCCTTTCCACCCGTCTAAAGTTAGAACAAGGAAGAAACGAGAAGCAGAGAGGGAGGACGAGCTGTGTCGGCCGGAGGGAGGGAGGCGAGGTGCGGGGGAGGCCAAGAAGAGGGGAGATCGAGGGGAACGCGAAAAAATATCGTTCAAGATCACGGGACCACGCGGAGGCCCATATGGTCGCGCGCTAGAAAAAGAGGAGAGGAAGAGGCCGCTCGCGGGGACCGTGTTTTGGCGTGGCGGTTACGACGTCGGAAGCAAGCAGGAAGCAATAAAGATGCGTGCCACGGGTTTTGGCAAGAACAAGCCCGGGGATTAGGGGACTTAGTCACCGAGATCGTCGGCTGAGAGACGGAGAGAGAGAGAGAGAAATATTCGGAAGCGAGTATTCTAAGAGATTAATCGGTTGTTGCTGGTAGATCGACGATTACTCGATTACTGCCGCGTACCAGCGGCATCGAGCGAAATTGCCGGACAAAGCGAGCGTTCTTCACCTGTGTCACTTTCTTGGATCACACGCTGTTAGGCTGCTCTAATGGGTTCATGAAACCGTACGCTAAAAGCGTTTCCCTGCTGCGAATTTCTATTATTGCGATTCGTGAAATTTGTGCGATCGCGGGATCCGGGGGAGATTTATTGCGTGGATCTTAATTGACTGGGCTTCATTCTGGACTTACGGTTGGAGACACGAGGATTCCGTTTTTAACGAACGAGACGCGCCGTGCTCGATGGATGTGACGATCGTTGGAGCGTCTTTCGGTTTTGCGGATTCCTGCGGTCGGAACGTATGAGTTTTCTTGGGAATATTGAAGATAGCGATGAAAGCTGTGTTTACGGTAGCTGTGGGAAAGTTGGTCTTGCGGTGTGTGTGTTGGAGTTTGAAAGTGAATTATATTGACAGTGTGGATTTATTGAAATGACTTATTTAGGTGTTCGTCGAAGAAGGTGGATCTTATTCGTGAAAAATTCGTGGATGTTTGCTGGGTTTCAGAGTATCACGCATTTCGCTTGCCTCTCAAGCCCAGCATAGTTCGGACTGTCACGCACATGTGATACTGATTTGCCACGAGGATCAAGATGTCAAAGAAATTTGGACGTTTCCTTTAGCCTTCTATTCTACTCTCTTTTCGCTGCGGATAGTCTGCGGCTTATTTATAGATGCAGTTTGCATTATTTCAGTGTAAGTTACCTACTGGAAATTCTAGCAAATAGAGACTCGTCTTCCAAAATGTCAAGTTTACATACCTTTAATCATATTAACGGATCTGTCGACAATATTTCACATCTTTCCGAGTGAAATACATTCGCGTTTTATAACGCGAGGAATTTATAACGATTAATTTTCAAGGCGAATCGCGAAATGCCTGTCTCTAAGTGGTGAAACGGCGAAACGTACGAACTTCAGTGGCAAAATTGCGTACAGCAAAGGAAGGTTTTTCAAAGTGGTGGTTTTATAAGGATACAGGAATGTAGAGTGTGAGTGGGAATTAGTGCAATGAATTGCATTTCGAATTTTCTGGAAAGTGAAAGATAAGGTTATAGTCGGCAGTTGATTCAGGAGAATGGATTAGGCTAACGAATGAGTTTAATGACCGATAAGTAACTTAGACAAGGAAATGATATAGATGAGAACAGCGAGCAAGGTGCGCCAACCGAAAGTGGCAAGAGGAGTCGGCGATAGACAGAGAATAGCAGCACAACAAACGGTTGGGTTTGAAAATCGGTTAATAGCGAAGGAAAAAAGAGTCGGAAGTTTAAAGAAATATGTAGAGAAAGCGAGGAAGCCTGTAATACGATTAAAGCCTTTTAATCGTGAACACGTACGAACCTTACCCAATATTTTAGCATCATTTAATCTCAATTAACGACCTGCCACTTAAAAGACAACTGTTGACAGATTCACCTAATACAAGGCGCTCAGCCATCGACTCAAAGAATCTCCTATTCAACTACCGGCGTACAAAAACAAGCTACCGTATCTTCGAAACTAGATACCAAGCTAACCAAACTAACCAGAAAACTACCCATAAGGAAACCCGTGAAGAAACCGGTAAGAAAAGTTACACCTTACCACTCGAGAGTACTAAAACGTTCAATCCACGCGACGATCACCTCTTACGAAACGATTTACCAGAAGCCGTGGCTGTAAAGTCTCCTAATAAGAAACATAGAATTAGCAATGCAAGTCACCTTCGTGTACACTGTCGGCCCGCCTGTGCCGCCGATGCTGTACAGAACTGTGCACGACCCTGCCGCCGGTGAACTTGTTAGGGTCCAGTATGTTCTCGACGGAGAACGCGAGACACCTCTTCTTCGCCTGCACGGTGCTCGCGGTGGTGGTGATGCTGCCGGCCGCGGTGCCGGTGGTCCGCGGCCCGTTACCGGAAGTGCATACGGTCATCACGGTGGAGGCGGCAGCGGCCGCGTGCGCGGATATATACACAGGAGTCCCGTGGCCAGTCGGCTGGCCACCGCTCTGAACACAGGAGAAAGGATGGACGCCGCGGTTCGCGAAGGGGTTGAGGAACTGTTCGGAGCCGGTGCCCCTGGACGACGGCGCGGTCAGGTCGACCGGGCTGCTGGGGTTGCTCTCGTCGACCTCGTCGCGGCAGACGTCGACCTCGACGTCCTCGTCTTCCTGGTAGTTCCCGTTGCGACTGCCGGGATGCACTTCCTCGTCCTCTTCCTCCTGCTCCTCTTCGTCCTCCTCGTCCTCCATGTTCCTTCTCGGAGTAACGTTCCTCTCGACCTCGTCCTCTTCTTCCTCGTCCTGCTCGTCCTCTTCCTCCATCTCGGTGTCCATCCTCTTCTCCCTGAGGGTGGCCTGGCTGGCTTCCATCTCTTGGAACTGGTCCTTGTCGACGGGGCAAAGGATCGGCGAGGTGGAAGGCGAGTGTTGCTGTCGCACGCTGTCGTACCGAACGAAAGGCTCGCCGGTGCGTACGTGGAGCAACACGTGCCGCCTTTCTTGGGGTGGTAGCGAGAGTCCGGCACGCATATCCGCTTCCTCCCGCGGTAGAACGACCGGTCCTAACGGCGACACGGTCCTGCCCTCCTGCATCCTCCACATAACACGAGCCCCAGGGGGTGTCTTTTACCTGAGCCACCCGCGGCGCTTCATCACGCGCACGAAACGATCAACACTTGTCCGGCCGCACGAACTGTTACCTTCTATTCAGAAACGTTCCCCGGGGCACACCACACTGGCCGCGCTCATGGCACTTCCCGATTCATCACTGATCCCTGGCCCGCACCACCGGTTCCCTCGGATCGTTTCCGGCCACGACGAGGATTCCAGTCAACTGGTCCCGCGGAGCAACGGGCGCGCGGCCGGGCGATCCCGCGCGGTTCTTCGTTCACTGAACCGGTCCCGGACACGGTCGTGGCGCGACAACGGGCACGACAATCGG